TAATAATGAAATAATTTAATTTTGGTTTAATAATATAACATTTTATAAAGATAATAATTAAATATTCTGTTATAACTCAATGATTATCCTAATTATATTTTAGATTTTTAATATTTAAAATAAGATGTTTATCTTGTATTTGATTATGTTTATCTGCAATTAGTTACACGAATTCATATATGGAGCTTTAATACTTACACACAATCTACTTGTAATCTTGAGTTTTAAGTAATATGCATTAATAAACAATACTTTACGCATAAAAAGTAGTTTTTAAGAATTTTTGTCAAATGCTTTATAATATAGTATAAGTTATTTTTTTATAATTTAATTTAAGTTTAATAATAAAATAATTTATTTTTGGTTTAATAACATAACATTTTATAAAGGTAATAATTAAGTATTCTGTTAGAACTCAATGATTATCCTAATTATATTTTAGATTTTTTATATTTAAAATTAGATGTTTATCATGTATTTAATTGTATTTATCTGCAGTTAGTTACACGAATTCAGATATGGGATGAAATCGGATAGGGATGAAATCTGATTTAAGAGTTTTTAAGGGTTTTAGCCAAATGCTTTATAATATAGTATAGATAATAATTAAGTATTCTGTTATTAAGTATAACTCAATGATTATCCTAAATATATTTTAGATATTTTATATTTAATATGATATTTTTATCCAATATTTGATTATGTTTATCTACAGTTAGTTAGACAAATTCAAATATATAACTTTAATAAGTTGTACTTATGCATAATTTACTTGTAATCTTAAATTTTAAGTAATATGCATCAATAAACAGTACTTCGTGTATAAAAAATTATTTTTTAGAGTTTTTGTCAAATGCTTTATAATATAATATAGATTTTTATAAGGATAATAATCAAGTATTATGTTATTAAGTATAACTTAATAATTATCCTAATTATATTTTAGATTTTTATATTTAAAATGAGATGTTTATCCAATATTTGATTATGTTTATCTGCAGTTAGTTAGACGAAATAACAGAGGTTGTCTTTAAGAGTTTTAGCCAAATGCTTTATAAGATAGTATAATGAGAGATGTGTAAATTTAACCTTATGTATCCATATTTAAAATTTCGAAAACAAAAACTATTACGAGGTGTTTGGTTTACACAATGAAATATAGTGGACTTGGAATTCGTCAAATAAGTTTGATTTTGAACAAAACATAATGAAATTTGTTGAAATATTACCACATGTTTACTTGGCCGTAATTGAATGCCGGAAGGATAACATAACAGATGACGAAAGAGAAAACGAGGAAAAAAATTAAAGCACTTTTTTTGTTTTTTGAAGTAAATCCAGACGAGATGCATTTGAAATCCTTCGCTTGACTCAATGAATGACTGGATCAAGAGGTTGGTGGAATTTGAGTATTTTATAAACCATCATCTTTAAAAATCTTGAACCAAACAGTATAATGGAATTTGATCAGATGAATTAATCATTTAAATTCGTTTAGCATCTATGAACCAAACAACTATTTACATTCGAACTGAATTAGAAAAATTGGTCAAACAACCTCTCAATGACAAAGTAGATTTGTTTGAAAACTTGATTTTGGTTGTGAAACGGGTGATCGACGAGAGTGCGTGTAGCGCCCGTGACATTCACAAGACATTCATGATGAATGTTGTAAAATATTCATGTCTATTTTTTCGCATGAACAAGGATGCATGTTATGCTTTTAGTTGTCCACCGTTTCACAACAAAAATCAGGTGCACAACTAAAAATTTCTTATTGGTCAACCATATATACAGTTTTATAAAAACAATCGATATACTCTAATTAGGGTCGGGTCCTGGTGAGCAATGACAGTTATATTGAGAATGGTATGAAGAAATCTCACGTTCATATCAATCCTAATTGAAAAGTTCCATTAGATCAAGACTAATGAGAAACATTAGAACGATTCCAATATAGACCGCAATTCATGAGTTGGTTTGAGATTAAATGTGATCAAAGGTCCAAACCCCTTATTACACTTATCAGTTTAACTCTCATTTTTACACGATTTTAATTCATAATGCCAATTAATTATTTTACGTTATTCTACAAAACAATATATATAAAGTAAAAACATATATTTTTTTGGGAAATTAATACAAATAGTGTTTTGGATTTATCTTTTAGCCATTTAACTCACAAAAAATTCAAAAATATCAATAGTTCCGCAAGTGACACATCATCAATTTGCAGGGAGGTCAAAATGTAAAAAAGTTTCTAAACAAAATCCACAAGTATATGGACCAAATTTGAATCATATAACTTCCGTCCCAAAGTGTTGTGACTGATTTATAGATTTGGTCCATGCATTTATGGGTTCAGATTCTTTTTTACATTTTGACTCCCTCCGCAAATTAAGAACGTGTCACTTACGGATCTAGTGATATTTTTGAAATATTGAAAAGAAAAATGGTTAACTGAAAATAATTATTTTAATTAATTTTCCATATTTTATATTATTTTTTACAAAATTAAAATAAAGAATATATAAAGTAAAAACAAAAGAACCATATAAAAAAGACGTGGGATGGCTGTTTCGTAAATATATTAAAGTCTGGGTCTTAAAGTGAAAGTCTGATTTAGTGCAAACCTAAAAATAACGAGCAAACTGGCGATCAAGAAAGAAAGAAAAAGAAAGCGAAAAACGAGGAAAACACTCTCCGACTCACTCTCGATTTTTGTTCTCAAGTCTCTCTTCGGTCTAAAATTACTCAACCAGAAGCATACAGAGAGAGAAAACGTATTTGGCGTTCAACAAAGCAAAGGTGAGTTCATTAATTTATTGAAATTGCTTCATAGGTTAAATGCTGTTGTTCAATTTTGATGTGATGTATGTTTTTATGCCTATGGATTGATTCAAGTTGATGCAGGTTGCTTATTTTGATTTTCATGGTTTGAAGATTGATTAAATGGGAAAAAGTAGACCTAGGGCTGCAGAGAAGAGGGTTTTAGGGCAGGGTTCAATTGTTTTAACATCAAGTTCATCATTAACTATACCACCTGCACCTGTTTATTACCCTACCGAAGATGAATTTAAGGACCCATTGGCATATATTTATAAGATCAGGCCAGAAGCTGAGTCATATGGGATTTGTAAGATCATTCCTCCAGAGAGTTGGAAACCCCCTTTTGCCCTAGATTTGGATACGTTTTCGTTTCCCACAAAAACCCAGGCCATTCATCAGTTGCAAGCGAGGCCTCCGGCATGCAATTCAAAGACATTTGAGTTGGAGTATAATAGGTTTTTGGAGGAGCATTGTGGGAAAAAGGCTGTGAAGAAGAAGGTAGTTTTTGAAGGGAAGGAGTTGGATCTGTGCAAGTTGTTTAATGGGGTAAAGCGTTATGGGGGTTATGATAATGCTGTGAAGGAAAAGAAGTGGGGGGAAGTTTTTCGGTTTGTGAGGTCAGGCGGGAAGGTTTCCGAATGTTCAAAGTATGTGCTGTGTCAGTTATATAAAGAGCATTTATATGATTATGAAAATTATTATAGTAGGTTGGATCGTGTGAAAGAGAAGAGCTGTAAGAGAGGAATGCTAGCGGAGAAGAGAAGGGGACAGCAAAGTTGTAAGAGAAGTCGAACCAATGAAGCAGGTGAGAAAGCTAAACCACGTAAGGTAGAGGATGAAGAATATGATCAGATATGTGAACAATGCAGAAGTGGCTTGCATGCAGAAGTGATGCTTTTGTGTGATAGGTGCAATAAAGGATGGCATATATATTGTTTGTCCCCACCTTTGAAACGGGTCCCACCTGGTAATTGGTATTGCTCGGAGTGCTTCAACTCTGAGAAGGATAGCTTCGGTTTTGTGCCTGGTAAACAACTGTCCTTGGAAGCTTTTAGGCGTGTGGCTGATAGAGCAAAGAAGAAATGGTTTGGCTCAACATCTGCCTCTAGGGTTCAATTGGAAAAGAAGTTTTGGGAAATAGTGGAGGGATCTGTCGGTGAAGTTGAAGTTATCTATGGCAGCGACTTGGATACTTCTGTCTATGGTAGTGGCTTTCCCCGTCTAGACAATCAAAGACCATCATCTATAGATGTCAATGGATGGGATGAATACTGTGCTAGCCCATGGAATCTTAACAACTTGCCCAAATTGCAAGGGTCGATGCTCCGTGCTGTCCATCATAACATTGCTGGCGTTATGGTGCCCTGGCTTTACATTGGGATGCTATTTTCATCGTTCTGTTGGCACTTTGAAGACCATTGCTTCTATTCAATGAATTATCACCACTGGTATGTAACTTGTTGGTCTTAGAATCTGTTACTCTTTCATTACCTTTTTATATATATGTTTCTCATGTGCAAGATTGTTATCTCCGTCATGCATGCCAGCTGTTATCCCTAGAGTACTTGGGCAGTATATTCATGGTTGTTTACAACGTGCAAATCATCGATTTGTTAAAAAATAAGGAACAGTGTGAACCTTATGACATCTTTAGGCAGTTTTATATCACAGGTGAAGTGAATATATTTGATATTTTGTATACATAGGCAAACTTTATTCAAGTCTTAATGTTGAAGATTGAATGCATTAACAGCATCACTCATGCTTGAAATAAACTTCATATACATGCACTACCATAAATGGGCTGATTTTTGTGTATTTACTATTTGCTAAGTGCCAGCTAGAAGCAACATCATAGTAATGAGGCCCGGGACAGATTTGGACATAACACATTACACATCCATAGCAGTTTAAGGTTAGAAAAAATTCGAAGGTACTTAAAGTCAGTACAGAGTTAAACAGAGTTGGCTGCATTTTAGAGTATTTAGTTGGCTCAAAAGAAATTGAGGTTAATGCTCCGGAAATATCAAAAACATCTTCGAAAATTCAATTACACTAAGGTGGTTTTTGATTAGAATATAATGGACCTAATGGACTGGATGATTTATTCAATAAGCCATATATGAGTGTTTGTTTATAACTTAAATCAATAAGTCATTTACTTAAAAGACAAGTCACTTCTCCATTGAGACCATTCCTTTTTATCTTACCCCTCATATTCTATACGTTTCCATGCCCTCGTTAAACACACTTAACAAACAACTAATACCAATTACCACTTTTTTTGGAAGGGTGTCCCAGGCTATGCCTGGACTAATCCCGGCAAATTGTGACTGCAAGAAATCAGCTCTGATAAACTGAGTGGCCACAATTGTTGTCTACATCTGGAATCGAGCCCTAGGCGGATGGGATATTTCACCACATCCCCCAGGATCTCAACCACTACGCCACAACCCTTGTGGTTAATTACCACTTATTACGTACAAAACCTATATCCATACAAACATCTTTGTCCAGACATATCTAGTAGTTATTATTAGGAAAAATAAGAGTTAATTTAGTTCTAGATTTACTATTGTCTGGATACAACTATCCTGATTATAGTATTGAGACACATCACCTTTACAAAATGTATCACCTTCTATTAGCAATTGGCTCATAAAGATGAACTCTTAAAAAGATTGAAAATCAAAGATGCATGGACCTCTAAATATCTAACACGCGTTATTTATATTGAGGTTTGATTACTACTTAATGATAAAGAAACTTGAAAATGGATGTTTGGGGCTTGTTCTGCCTCAAATTTTGTCTTTGTCTTTGTTTGTGACCTCAAGAGTTTATTTTGACATGTTTAAGGCGTTCATTGTCGATGTATGAGCATGTCATGGCTTCCTAAAGTGTAACAAGCACAGAAAGAGAATTCTTTGTCCAGTTTTCAGCACACATCTGTATCTAACATGTGGTGGAAACGGTCATTTCCTCCAACAAGGACTCACCACTCCTATCCCTGATTAGCATCCATGATAGTTAAAATTTCTGTGCACGTAATATAGTTCTCTCTTTCCTGGCTTGGTCTCCTTTCATATAGAGTTCATTTATGGCTTAAATAGTTCAATTTTGTATTACATTGAAACATATTCTGAATGTTAATTGTATACTTTCAGGGGAGAACCCAAATGTTGGTACAGCGTCCCTGGTAGTGAAGCCAGTGCTTTTGAGAAGGTAGGCCATTAATGTATATCGTGGCATTTTCTGTAAAATAACTGTACACCATGGTAAGAACTAGAAAAGTGCTCTATGATTTTACCACTTCCTTGTGTTCAGTCCTTGTATTAGCGTATTAGCTTGAAAACTCACAAACAAGCTCCCTTTGAGCCACCATAGACACCTATTTGCCTAATACTAGTTATTCACTAAAATTGATTTACTACTTGTATACGAAAATGCTGTAGAATTATTTTGATTATTTCAGTATGCCTTCGGGCGCTCATGAGTAGAATTGTATAGAGTTTGTGTACAACGAATTGTAGGTTTAGGGCACAGAAGTAAATGAAAGGATTGCAAGCCGGGTCGATTAGTAAAGACAGCTGATGGTGTGGCATGTAAATCTATTGTTCCACAAGTTCCTGAAATGTAGCTGCTGCATAAATCTTGTGTTGTTTATACCATAGGATAGTAGCTGGATGGATGTCTATAGTCTTGGATAAATTGGCATTAGCTTGCAATAGACGAGATATGGGTTCTTTATATGTGTCAATAGGTCACTGCCAAGTGCAAATAACTTAGCAGTTTGGGTTTTTGGTGTAACTTTAAGAGCATCAGGTTAGTCATAATATCACTTGCTGTGATCGAAATCTGTCGGCATAAATTTCTTTTTTTACTTTTGGTGGGAATTAAAACACAAACAGTACATAATGTTGTTTTATTAACTTATAAGATCTGTTTTTAATACTAGTTTCCATCAATAAAAGTGCTGATTCTAGCTAGGGGCAGGGAATGGCAAGATATTGTGATGATGCATGGTGACAAAATATGAGAAGAGTAGAATCTACTCTAGGAAGACTAGAAATGAGATATAATATAATAGTACATATCTACTAATCATGTCTATTCAGATAGTTTTGAGGCATAATCAGTCCTTCCAGCCCCCCAGTCTGCTCCTTGAAGATATTCAACTTCATGAAAGCAATTATTGTGGGTGGGAACAATAGAAAACTAAAACAACAGAAATGCTTAACTGTTGCATGAGGTAGTAAAAATCAACAAAATCCTCATGATGTCTCACATGTTTGCAGTGGGTTAAGTGTGGTTCTCAACTCATTCCAGAAGGAGAATGAGGTTTATTAGGAATGCCCTGTACATTCTCCTCTGAAATGGGTGTTCTTGCAGACCAAGTTTCAGAAGCTGGGCACTTCTTTTCTGAACTTGAAGATGCGAAATAAATTGCATGAAATAGAGCAATTCCTCCATCTTTCATACTGGTGAAAAGCATGTTTGCAGTGCTCTTAATCTTATCGTTGTGTTCATAAGGAACCTAAACATATGCCAGATGAATAGCAGGGGAAGTATGTAAACTTTAATCAATGCTATGGCCTATATGCCTCCCGTGTTCAGAAGACTCTTTTTCATAGTTTTTGGATGCTTGGAGATCTTTCAATTCAATTGAACTTGGCAAGGTTTTAAACATCTTGATTGACTACAAAGTAACTACTGAAGAGGATGATATGTCCCTAGGAAGACCTGAATATTCTTTTCTGCAAGAAAAAATAAAGTAAAAAAGAAGCAGCAGAAGACAAAAGAATATTAGACAGAAAGAACAGGAAAAAACAAAATTAAGGAGAATAGAATGTAATATCATTTTCTTTGAGCATTACATTTCAGCTTTGTAATTGTTCATGGCTTAAGATATATAACTTATTTGTGGTCATTTTATTCAACATTCTTCCATTTCAAAAGGAAGATTGGTTTTATCATAGTTGATTATTGTGTGTTTTTCTATTTTTGTATCCTGACAGCTCATGTGAGTGTGTTATGAATGGGCATGGTTTTCTTTGACGGTTGCTCTCTATGGTGTTGTACTGCTAATGGAACTAGTGTATATGGTTGGTCTTATCCTTAAAATTAAAATGTAGATTGCCCAATAATTTCTTCTTGACCTGGAAGTTCCAATCTAAGTCAAAGGGCAAGTTTGACCTTAGGGCCTGATATGATATAAGATCTAGAATGTTGGTCCATTAAAGACAGCATGTATATGACGATTTTGGTCATCTTGGATATAGCCCTTTAGGTACATCGGTGGGGAAAAGTTTTGAGTACAAAGGGAGGTGTTTTGGGTGATGTGTAGGTGTTAGGCCACCAGGTGAAAATGACTTGGTCAAGGTAGTGAAGAGAGATTTGAATGAGTGGAAGGATGTGACGTAATTTTAGAATCGTGGGGAGTGTGTTACCCCTTTTTAGTTAGTTTCATATTTAGCTTCCCACAACTATGTTTTGATGAATATTTTCCAAGGGGTTTTGCCCTTCATCCCAAAAAAAAGCTAGTTTTGATGACAACACAGTTGCTGTTGGTGTTGACCTAGAATTTCCACTTCACTGCAGGTAATGCGGAACAGCCTTCCTGATTTGTTTGATGCTCAACCTGACTTGCTCTTTCAGCTGGTCACAATGCTCAATCCATCTGTCCTGCAAGAACATAATGTTCCAGTTTACAGTGTGTTACAGGTTTGATCAGCAAAATCGTTGACTTACATTATCCTTGTGATTATTCATTATAAACGGCTCTTTTGCACTTCATTTTGCTATTTTCTGGGAATTGCATGTTCTTAATTGCCGTATTTTTTTCCATGCTTCCGGTGTTCGATTTTCCACAAGGATTGAAGTTTCTGATAGTATTGTCAGGATCTCAATCTACCTGCTTAAGCTTGTAGGTGAGTTGGCAGCTTAAACCAATAGCATAGTAGGGACAAATGATAGGGAGATTGAGTCCACTATACACAACATTTGCTATAGTTAACTAACATACAGTGAACAAGTTTCGTATTTGGCCGTGTTTATGGAAAATTGTTGATTTGTGAGCTGAAAATATTTTTGTTGTTTTTCTTGACTTGTGTATAATCTTTTGCAATGTAACAAGTGAAATTGCATAGGATAAATAGTGTAGTTTCTGCAAATATTCTTTGGTTTATATAACATGGCATCTTTGAATGGTGTCTAATTGCAAATATGACATGTCTGCCTTCTATCTTTCTGGAGAATGGTTCTTTTTCCTCCACATTTTAATTTGTTGATTTGATGCGATCTCTGGTGATTCTTTTTCCTCCGCTCAACTCTTTGGGTAGAGCTCAGGTCTGTGTACATCTCCCCCCTCCCCTGGGACCCTACTTCCGGGTGGGTTTTCCTGGGTCCATTTGGTTTCTTAGAGGCGTCTCTGTCTTTAGTTGCATACTATTCTGCTTACACAACATGCCCTTTTCAATATTGCGCCGTATGGGTCAGAGATGCAAGTGATTATGCCAATTTTCTTACACCATTGGTCGTATCCTGTATGTAACCTTCTTTTCCTCATGCTTCTTTTGCCAGGAACCTGGCAACTTTGTTATTACCTTCCCTAGATCTTATCATGGAGGTTTCAACTTCGGTGAGCGTAATATTTACTCAGAAATGGAGTTTCCTTGGTCGTATTTTTCTTTCTTGTTTTATCAATTACCTCTTGGTCTTGGCAGGCTTAAATTGTGCAGAAGCCGTAAATTTTGCTCCGGCTGATTGGTTACCTTACGGTGGTTTTGGAGCAGAACTTTATCAGCACTATCGCAAAGCTGCGGTCTTGTCTCATGAAGAGCTGCTTTGTGTGGTTGCGAAGGTCAGTGGCTTGTCGCTTGTTTTACGTGCTCTATGTCATGAAACTTCGGACTTCTTGTCAATGAAACTTTTTTAAGGGCAAAGTGCTTATGTCAAACAATTTTATGTCAATGTTGATATAGGTTGTCAAACCTTATTTACATTTTATTTGCTGGTTCATGATCCCCCTTTTAACATTACGTATTGGTTAGTATCCTTCAACTGCTAAATCGAAACACCAAGAATAATAAGTTGATATCCATAAATATTCTTGTACTGCATATAAACTCATGATTGAATGCTTTCAAATTCTGAAATAACAGGCTCTTTCTCGGTTGCGCTCCTAATGTATCATCGAGACAATCATACCTTGCAAATTCTACTTGTAAACAATTCTTTAGTTCCGTAGCTCATGTTTTGCATAACTTCCACCACTAGCAACTACCGACAAGGCGACACCTTACTCTTTGGTCCTCTCTTTTTAAGGAAGATCAAATTTGTAAACCCAACATTTTTCTGTAGGTTGATGAGATTAGTCACAAATCTCGATTCATCGGACATAATATATTCCTTTTTTCTCTTGTGTATTGTTGACGTAGAAGATGTGATGTCTAATCCGTTAATATCAATATGCAATTTTTATCTTCTCTTGTATTTTTGGTTTATACAAGTAGCAACGATTTCGTCTTCATGAGTCATGGGACCATGTTATTTCACTCGTGGACACTGCTTTGGATGTATTCAGACATTGCCTTCTATTTACAGAATGATTTTGATGCCAATGCGTTACCATACTTGAAGAATGAGTTGCTTCGCATATACAATAAAGAAAAGAGTTGGAGAGAACGGCTTTGGAAGAATGGTATTATTAGTTCTTCACTCATGGCTCCTCGAGAGCAGCCAAACTATGTTGGTGTTGAAGAGGTAACTTGAGGTTTTTGAGTCTATTTGCTTCTTTTTGATGTTTGGAAACATCAACATAATGGTAGTAATTACATTTATGATGAAAATTGTGAAAAATGTTTTTGTAGGATGCGACTTGCATCATATGTCAGCAGTTCTTGTATCTTTCAGCTGTTGGTTGCAGCTGCAGACCTTCTGCTTTTGTTTGTCTAGAGGTAAGAGATTTTAACTATTCCCACTTAGATAGTCTAATCTATTTTCCATGTAATGACAATTGACACATGTCTTCCAATATCCTTCGATCTGGGGTGGGCTTGATATCATTCTTTTGATGCCTCCAACACGCTCTGTTTGCAGTCTTGCTGCATATGTTTCACTCACTTATTTGCATTGCAACCATACCCTGCAGAAAACTAAAATCTTCCAATCCTTTGATCATATGTAACTTTCATATTTAGTTGTGTGCTTGTTGGCCCTTAATTCTGTTTTCTTAAGTAACTACTTGTATTATACTTGCAGCATTGGGAAAACCTGTGTGAATGCAAGCCCCGCAAACGACATTTTCTTTATCGCCACACACTTGCAGAATTAAATGATTTGGTCATTATGATGGACAAGCATAGTTCTGAGGACACAATCCAAAAGAGGAACACAAGAAAGCATTTGACGTGTACCAATGAGTTACCCTCTTTATCGAAGAAGGTTTTAAATCTGACCAAACTTCTCTGGCTTATAAATCATGAAGATAAATGATCCATATCTGCTTTATTTGTGTTTATATCTTTATTTACCTTGATTTGTTTGATAACCTCGTTTCTTTCGCACTTTGATGCAATTATGTTTTCTGCCTGCATAATAGTTGGTGATGACATTATAATTTTATGGCATGGCCTTTAATTTTATTGTATGTATGTAAATATGTTACCTTGACAAAGTCAAGTTTGTGAAATCTTACTCGATAAATCATGCTTGTGGTAGCTCATTGCTACAGTTGTGAGATTTACATTTTGTATGTTGGGATCATGGTTTTTTCAAAATCGTTTGAGGCGTACGCCTCTAGGCAAGGCAGTCAAAAAACGAACCCGAGGCATTGCTTCTCGGTGCTTGCATGAAGTGTACGCCTTGCATGTGTGAGGCGGTTGGTAAGGCGGTGAGCGAGGCTGAGGCGTAAGCCTCTCATTATATGATGTGCATGTGGATGTGATTACATATGGGTTAGTGGGCGTGTCAGGATTTATTATATAAATACAAAAGTAATATCAGACCCTAATATTATAACATATATTCGGTGGATTCTTATCTTTAAAACCTCAGTCACACTTTTCTCCTTAATCTTTAAACCCTCCTTGCTGCAGTGACAACTTGTACTTGCTGCACTAGAAACTTGTACCTGCTACAAGTATTATATATTTTCTTTGTTGGTATATAATACACACACACACACATATATATGTTTATATTCTGATTCTGGTTTGTATAAAATATTATATATATATATATTACGTTTCTAGTATATGTATGTATATCTTTTCCTGTACAATTTATATAAATATAAATATGTATAGAGAGACTTGAGTAAGGAAATATAATTTATTTACAGTATTATGGTGGTTAATTTATAATTATATTTACATTTGTGTTCATAATTCATCCTATTTATTTTTCTTAGTTTGTATATATATAATTTTATAAAAAATAATAATTATTAGATATGTGTTGATATATTTTATTTTCCGCCTTGAGGCTTACGCCTCGGACCGCCTCGAGGCTTACGCCTCGCTTTATCAAGGGAAAACGCCGCGAGGCCCGATTCCTCTTTTTAAAACTATGGTTGGGATAGAGCTTCCACAAGAACGATTCATTATGTAGGACTCTTTATCTACAAATCATGGTTGTGGTTGTTGTTGTCCTCCTACACTTGTGCATTAATCGTCCTAAGACCGAGTACCCCTAGATTCTGTTGCAAATTTCAACAAAGAGCTCCAAAGAGGTGGTAGAAAACAGTGAGGAGTAGAGGGCACCTCAAAAGGACAGTTTCAAGTTTTTAGGCTCCACGAATCAAGAGGGAGAGGTCGAGGACGATGTTACTCACTGAGTAGAGGCATGGTCGTTGAAGTGTAGGGCTGCCATGAGAGCGTTTTGCGACAAGAGGGTCATGTTAAAATTGAATGACAAATTCCACAGAGTGCCCATTAGATCTTCTGACAATTTCTACAGAGTGTTGGGAGATAATTAAGACACATGAGAGGAAATTGAAAGTTGCAGAAAATGAGGATGTTGTGGACCTGTGGCTGGACCATGTTGAACAAGATGTGGAACGAGGTCTTCAAGGCAAAGCTAGGAGTCGCACTTGCGCCTATCACAGATAAATTGAGATAAGGAAGATCGCGGTGGTTTAATCACGTCCATGGCAGACGAATGACGACACAATGAGGAGGTGGAGAGGGTAACGGTCGAGGGGTGAGGAGAGGAGGCAGGCTGAGGAGAAGTCTGGATATAGAGGCTTTGGATGGTTTCAAGGACATCACTTCTAATAGAAGTTCTTAGAGACGTCGGATTAGGGTAGCCGTTAATTCGTAAGGACTAACAGCTACTATGGATGGGGAGAGGTATGGACAAAAAGGTTAGCGGTTCACTAGGGTAGCTAGGGGGGAGGGCTTATTCCCGGTAGTTTGTAGTTGAGACTTGAGAGTGCCCCATGTACGGGATTGTACATCTGCTAAGCCTATAGGTTGTTTGAACTTATTTATTCCTTCGCCTTGTTTATGTCTTTTTGCATGCACTCAACATTTAGAATGACTTCAAGTGTCTCAAGCTCGTCAAAGAAGTTTTAAAGATCTTCAAAACTTTTCACCCATCTTTCTAATAATATTCATACCATATAACTTAAAATAAGCAAGTACAAGCTTAATTCATTCCGTAATCAACGAAGGATTTGGCAATCGATATTCCTCAATTCCTCTAATAATGTTTGGTATCATTTATGATTCAACCTACAGTCATGCCTTCATTGCCTTGGTGATTTTATTTTATGGTGATGAAGCAAGTGCTTGCAGAAACAGTTTCACGAGTAAAGATGCATTCATCTTATATGGAGTCGATAAGTATTTCAACCATGCATAGGTATTCATGCAATTATATGCAGGGTCATTAGAAGGGACAACAATTACTAGTGTCAAAAAGCTTTTACTCATAAAGCAAGTCGTACTTTCAAACAAGGTCATGAAGGTTGTGTCATCGACTGTTATCATAATGATTCATTACAAGAATTCTCTATGGCCTCTGAAAGAGTACAATAACTTCCTGCAATGCTAGTCAGACCATTCGGAACAAGTAGGACCACGAAAACTTGATTATCTGGGAGAACTGCACTGGTATATTATTAGTTTAGTTAAATGGTCGTCTAGTTACTGTTGTCAGAAAATTACCTGCGGCTTTGTTTAGGTTTATTAAAATTCCTTGTGTATTGCAGTGTTGGTGAAAGTATGATGCTTCGCTCCTATTGACATTCTTATGCTGATTTGTAGATTAAAGGTGGCCATATGACAATTGCGCAACTTGCTGAAGAATGGCTCTTGAGGTCTTGTAAAATTCTTCAGATGCCATATTCAAATGATGCTTATGCCAGTGCCTTGAAAGAAGCGGAACAGTTCCTTTGGGCTGGTTCTGAAATGGATCCAGTAAGATTGAAGAGTCTGATTATTTTTTCCATGACTGGGAGGTCCTTATGCTTCCTAATTGTATCTTTTGCTAATGAGTCTGCATTTATATCACCATATGAATGAAAATAGGTGCGAGAACTGGCTAAAAATTTGGCTGAAGCTCAGAATTGGGCAGAAGGCGTAAGAGATTGTCTTTCAAAAATCGAATTGTGGGGATCTCACCATAACTCTGAAGTGGAGAGAGTAAAGATGGAAGACGTGAACACTTTGCTTAATGCCAACCCTGTGCCTTGTAATGAACCTGGGCATCTGAAGTTAAAGGTGAATGATGTTCCAATCTTTTTTAGTAGAATGTCTGTTCAGTCACTGAACAAGTGTTTTCCTTCGTAGGGTTATGAAGAAGAAGCAAGGGAGCTGATTCAAGAAATATGTTCTGCTCTTTCAACAAGCTCCAATGTCTCTGTATAAAACCTCCCATATTACTTCAGTTTATTTACAAAATTTTAGAAGTTGGTGATTACTTTTCATTTTGTTCGGTTATTCATCCTTGGTCCTAATTTCAGATTGTGGATTTGGAAACCTTGTGCTCTAAAGCTCGTGAGTCTGCTATATATGTACAAGAAAGCGAGAGATTATTGACCAAGCTGTCAGCTGTGAAGGTTTATTTTGTTTTCGACTTAACACCCAACCCTCAGTCCCCCAGCAATTCGAAAAAATCATATACCTCTTGTTTGTTTCATTTTTTTGGTTGGATATTTGTAGCTTGTTGGCAAGTCCCTATCTTTAGTCACTTCAAATAGTTCGGAGTGGCTTATATTGGATTGGAGTTGATTCCTTAGATCAACTTAACTTGTCATATGGGCACAAAAGTAGCTTTTGCTCTTGAAGTAGGTTGGATAGGAAGAAAGATGCTATGAGGACCAACTACTATGATATGTGGTAGGGAACTTGCATGTGGAATATTGTCATCTGTCTTGAGTTCCCACTTTTCCTGCTGTTGGGTGGGTGGGTGGGTGTGCTTTTTTCTTTCGAGTAGCCTCAGAGAACTGCCCATTTTTTGGAGTGCTATTTCAAGTTTTTCGTCTCATCTCATGCCAGTCTTGGCTGTTTTTATCGTTGTCTGATATATTCTTCTTTATTTCGTCTCTTTAGCTATGGCTACACACTGTAAGAAATTGCATATCAGAGAAATCTCCTGGGGTGATCGAGGTTGATATCCTCAATAGCTTGAAGTCAGAGGTGACTAAGATATAGTTTTTCCAACACATTATATTGTCTTTATATCTTAGAGTGTAGACATTCATCTTTTTATATTATTTTTTCTGATCAGATTGTAGAACTTCAACTTCAACTTCCTGAAGTCCCAATGTTTTTGGATTTTGTAAGGCAAGTTGAATTATGTCAGTCTCGATCTACTGAGATATTGAGAGGTTCTATAACTTTAAAGGTTGGTAATTTAGCTATTTATGTAATTAGATGGTGTAAGTGGGTATCTTGTATGATATATAAAGCATTGTATGATGTGCAGAACCTTGAAGTACTTATCCAAGAATATGATGGTTTTACTGTTGATGTTCCGGAGTTAACACTTTTGAGGCAATATCAGCATGATGCCTTTGACTGGATTTCACGCTATAATGATGTTGTGAAGAATATTCATGAGCGGGAGGATCAAGAAAACGTTGTTGATGAGTTGATCTGCCTTGAGAAAGATGGATCATTGTTGAAAGTTCAATGTCTGCTCTATTCCTATTCACCTATTTTTCATTTCAATCATATTACAGATATAACTGTTGTATTTGTGTACACTTCCAAGTATATGGTCATTTTAATTGCTTTATTTTGTGATGTAGTTGATGAGTTGCTTCTCGTTGATGTCGAGTTAAAGAAGGCTTCTTGCAGGGTAGAAGCTTGGAAGGTAAACACCATTCATGTCTTTAACTGATAGCTTTTTTACACTTTAATTCAATGCATACAATTATAGAAAATCTCTTACAGTATGTATAAAAGAAATCTATAAAAAATTTGGTCACTTGACAATAATATATATATAGGTGAAGGATCGTGTGAGAAGGAGAGTTAAGGTGAGAAGCGTAAGAAGGGATCTGGACCCTTGATCACCTTTAATCTCAAACCCACCTATGAGTCGCTGTTGATACGGGGATTGATCCGGTGCATCTCATCCTAATGTGCATCCAAGGATGGAGATCTCTTCTTATGCTTCTCACCTTAACTCTCCTTCTCACCGGAACCCAACCCTATATATATATATATATGAAATTAAAATCAATATATATAATTAGAAAACTTACTACAATCAAAATTTGAGAAGTTATAAATTTATTAGAGTTAATATGTACAAAAAAGGGCTATAAAAATATCTTTAAATTAAAATGAATATAAAAGTTAATACAATTATTTATATATATATAGAAAATTATTTCATTTTTTGAAATTTACTTTAAATTAAACTATATAAATGAATGAAATAAGTTTAGAATCAATTCTTTCATTTTAATTAAAATATTAATTAATGGAATGCTACTGTTACTTAAAATCTACATTCTGTCCCATGTACTGCTATTATTATCTTATATTATATTTTACTCTTCAACTGCACTATCTTCAGTTGATCTTTTTTGAAGTATATAATATTTATATACGGTAAATTGAACAAATAAACTCGCACACCCTCCTCACCTTTGGTGAGGTTTGAACCCTTGACCTCCTAGGAGGCCGAGGGCTCGCATACTGGTAGGCCAAAGGCCCTTTGGTTATCATCAATTGAATTTGATGCCTACAACATTGATAGGACACGCTATATCATTCTAACTTTCAAACAAAGATGCAGTATTTGTCTTTTTCCCCTTAATCAATCTATCTTAAAGCAAGCTTCTTCTTTTTGAACTTCTGCAGGTGCTGAGTGGTAAAATGCCTTTGGACTCTATTCAGCAAGTAATGGCTATGGCCATCAAGTATGGATTCTTGGCTTGATGCTTCTAGAATATCCTTTTTAGTTCCTGTATATCTTATGATTATTTTTAAACGTATGCTGATGTCATTCAGACTACAAATTGACAACGAGAAGGTGTTCAAGAAAATTTCTGATGTACTTGCTCAAGCTGTGCGTTTGGAAGAAAAAGCAAAACATATTCTTGCTTGTGAGGTTCAGATGTCTGATTTTGAGGATGTTGTAAGGTTTGTTATAACTGCACCTGAATGCCCTGTGGTTCTTCTGTAGATAGCGGTAGATTTATGGCTTTTGGTCTCTAATAAATAAATAAAAACTTTCAGGATGTCAGAAGACCTTTGTGCACTTTTACCTTCTCTTGATGGTGTCAAGGGAGCTTTGTCTATGGCGAAGTCCTGGTTGATTAAGTCCAAACCATATTTAGTTTCCGATCTCTCTATATCGTCAGTTGGAAATGCTTTGCTTAAAGTTGATGACCTGAAGGTTTTCACTATGTCTGATCATGATATTTATTTGAAGTACTATGCATGAGCGGTTTCTGAGTCAATTCTCTGGAAAATATGATGCAATTTTGCAGGAGTTGGTTTCGGAATCAAAGTTACTGAAGATATATTTGAAAGAGCGGTCTTTGCTTGAAAATGTTTTACATAATTACATGGAGTTGGAGCATAATGCCTGTTCTGCGCTGCATGATGCAGAGTCACTGCTGAATATTCTTGATGTCAGTGAGATGTCCTCTGATCTAATCTCCAAGATTGAAGATCAGGTTGCTAAGATGGAGTCCATAATGAAGGCGGAGTTATCACTTCGTTTTGACTTCCTTGTGATTCCAAAGCTACGAGAAACTTGTGCGATTCTCCATTGGTGCTTTAAGGCCCTTACTTTCAGGGCTGTTGATCCCACACTAAAGGTGACTGATGTAAAATTTTTGTTTCTACATGTTATGCGGTTACTTATTTTTCACCCTTTTGGTGTCTTCTATGGTTTCGGTGCCAAAATGTGTTACTATACTAATCTTAATTTAATTTTTCTCCTGGAAGGCTATTTTATAATAGTTATTATTTAATTGTTTTTCATTTTGCAGGAAGTTGAAATGTTATTGGAGGATGCAGGACATCATCATGTTATATATACATCTCGTCCTTTCTGGAGGTCATTGGTTGACGGGATTAATTGGCTTAAGAAAGCTGTTGAGATCCTGGACCCATGCAGCCTTAAAAGATTTGATCTGAGTGATGTTGAAGAAACTCTGAGACAATCTAAGGTATTATTCTCTCCAGTGTTCTTCCTGCTGAACCTTGATATGCAATTAGTGGCTGAAACATAATGTATTTTCTTCAAGTTCATAATAAAGAAAAGAGAGCAGAAGTAGGATGCGACCAAGTTTTCCACCTAGACTGTAATCTTCCATTTTTGGCTGTTCATTAATGTATGACATTTTTAAATGGCAGATAATTAAAATATCCTTTCCGTTGATTGTTGACCGATTAGTTGATGCTATCAAGAGACACAAGTGAGTTCCCAAGATGCGCCATCCACATTCTCTCTTAGTTTTTTTCTTTTTCGCTATTAACCGTTTGGATCTTAATCTAGATATATGAATTGATGCGTGCCCCTATTGTTATATAGCTTCTTTCTGTATCGGAAGCAGAGGTTTAGTATGAAACATATGCAAAAATATAAAATGAAATATTCATTTTCATAAGTCCGATAAGTACTATTTTCTATTCTTCTGCATGCAAGTAAGACCCATTTTCTGCTACTGCTAGATAATAGTATGTTTTTCGTTATAGCAATATTTCTAATTGCTAGATCTTTGCTCTATGGTCATGTATACCTTCTCCGTATGTCATTCATTTGTGATCTAATGACTTAGGGGCCGTTTACCCATATGCTTACCCGGTAAGCGCTTACTAATAGGAGTCAACACTATAATTTATTTTGATGCGTAAGATTTTAGTACATCAAAACATATTGAATGCAACAATTTACTTGTTAAGCACCTGGGTAAGAGTCGCCATCCTCACTTACCGGGTAAGACTCTCCATCCTTCTCATCGCTCTTACGCGTAAGATTCTTGGCTCTTCTCATGTTCATCCAATGAGGAAATTTATGCGTTAAACACTTACCAAGTACGTGTTTAGTAAACGGCCCTTTACTTGCATAAACCTGGAATTGCTACCTCATTCAAACTACAAACTTCTTGATGATAAATATTTGTTTTAACAATGTACACAATGTACTACGGTAATAAATTATTTTGATTCTGAAAAGCTAAAGTGTCTATGTCGATTCAAATTCCTAGTGTGGAGGTTTTTAACTCCAAACTCAAAAATGAACTTATTTTAGTGATGGAGGTAGCATCCAACAAGGTAGGCCCCACATGTCTGTGACCAAATAACTTATATGTAGTTTAGGTGACTTAGCATACTTGTCTCACACTACTATGAACCACTATCTTAATCGAATTCCTTATTAATTATAAGGCACACCTACTACCCAATCCATTTGATTCTATTTGCCTTTATTAATTGCGCTATACATGGTTATAAATTATCTCTTGCAATCATTCTTTTTCTATAAAGAATGTGAACATCTTCTCTTGCTATACCCTTGCAGTCATTCTTTGTTGTAAGAATATGAACTTCTCTTCTTGCTACTGGCCGTTCGGGTAGTTTGTTGAGAACATTTCACTTATCATGGAGGAACTACATTATATGTTGGTTGGCATATTAAATGATATTACTGATTATCGTATAGTGTGCTTTATATTTTCATTTTTCCAGTAACATTTATGTTTTTAGAGTCGATGTAATTCAGTGCTAATTATGTTTTTTGACTGACATCTTGACAATGTGTAGTGTATGGGTGGACGAAGTGAAAGCATTTTTCACCTGCAGTACTGGAGATCGGTCATGGTCTTTGTTATTGCAGCTCGAGGTAATTTTTTCACACGTCACCTTTTTTTCTTGAACGAACTTATTGTAGACCATAACCTTTTTTCTTCCAGTTTTATTTCAAAACGATTCAGTGACTAGTAGAACTTTTTCTTTCTTATATGAGGATGGAACTTACGTTATTCTCTGTTCTTTCTGCATAAGTTGGGATAAAAGTAGGTATGGATTATGACTAGAGGCTTATTTGGGATGCCATGAAGGCTGATAGTTGCAAAAGTTTAAGTGACAAATTTTGAGTCATTCCTGCACAACAGAACAACATGGTGTTGAAGAAACAAAGAGAACATATGCAATGAGTGTTTCAATAGGAGAGGCGGAGAACAAGATATTCATTTTTAGGCTTCACAAATATTGAAGGGACGAAATATGTTCTCTTTCACCCATCCCAAAGTTTTCCCTTTTTATGCCTGTTCTCCATCTAAGCTGCCTTTCTTTTGTTTTCTTTTTTCCTGTATGGTTGCTTCAGTTACCAGGGTTTACCCTTCTTATATCCCCTTAAGCGGTGACACTGGGACATCTACCTAAATCAAGTAACTCTGTTGATACCTGGCCAACTTAAAAGGGGTCTTATAGTTCTCTTTATTATAAGATACCAACAGGTTATATTCATAATGGTTTAGTGGAGAGCTCTATGTATTAGTTTATCATTTATGTTTTTTTCTTTTATCTGGGAAAAAGAGGGGAGGTGAGGAACCAACCTCAATATTGGACTATACCAAAGCAATATTCTTTCTCCAAATGATCAATGAGTAATGCATTTTCTTGATATTTTGTTTTTATTCTTATGTTGATGATAGTAATATTATTGGGTCTGTGCAGAGTCTTGGCAGCACCAATGCTTTTAATTGCATGGAAATGGACATGGTTGTATCTGAAGTTCAGAGGGTTAGAGAATGGAAGCAGAGAGGCGGAGACATTGTTGGGGTTAAAGCTGGTGATGATAATCTGCTACTCAATGCTCTATCTCGGGTACACTATGTAGTTCAGTTTATTTATATTATATTAATTTTTTTGGAGAGACTGCTAATTTTTTGAATATTCTTCACATAAAGGACTACAGTTAGATATTTGGACATCATAATAAGCCTAACATCGTGCCATACTGACCTTCATATATCTTCGTTGATATTCTGGATTTTTTTTCTTTGTTTGCAGATCATAGATGCTCTAGACAGATCTTTGTATGTATATAACAAGCCTGATGGCTGTAACCGAAGAAGTTTAGAATGTATGTTATGCTCAAATGAGGCTCAGGATCAGGAACTCTTGACTTGTTCTGTGTGCATGGAATGGTAAGCTGTCATGGTCCATTATCAGTTAACAAAAGCACTATTTTACTCAACAAGGCAGAAAACCTTTATTTGATGGATACGGGAAAATGAAGTTGATAGTATGTAATACTAATTTATTTTATAAGGTCTAAATACTACTTCCTGTTTATATTTTAATTATTAATTATTAGTCTGTACTGCTTTTTGAGAGGATAGAGGGGAATAATCACAAAAGGGTACTGCTTCTTTTGACATATTAGTTATTAACATCTTGCATGCAGCTACCATAGGCAGTGCATAAAACCAACTTCCAGTGGTACAAGTCATGCAGCAGCTTACATATGTCCTTACTGTCATATCATTGAGAGCGGCAAAGTCTCACGGCTGGTATATTTAGTTAGTTGTTGAGACTCTTTTCGTTTTTAGTGTTTGCTTGACCTGCACCAAACTCTGCCTTATGTAAAGTTGCGAGAGCGATTAACCTCTGGATTTGAAATATTTCATTTTCAGAAAATTGATGCAAAACGTCCTGAGTTGGATAAGTTTATGGAGCTTCTTTCTGATGCTGATAATCTATGTCTCGAGTAAGTGCCTCCCTAGCTTCATCCAATTGCATGCCTTAACTGGCATGTGCTACCCATGAGTGTTTCATGTGTATGATTTGCTTTCCCAAAGTGATGTGCTTTTTGTTTGATTATGTTGACTTCTTTTAGATTGATCGACTTCCATGCTTGTGTTTTTTGCTCATTACTAGATGTGGAGTTTTGGGCCCCACAAGAAAAACCCATCCGTTTCTCAAAATTTTTCATGAAAGGAAGAAGGGGGAAGGGCCCACAAAAATCCACGTGGGCCCCACAAAAATCTCGAAAAGTTGTTGCCAATGGGACTCCTTGGCCAGTTTCATGAAATAAGGGGGATTAATGAGGCATTTCACGAAATGGCCCACACGCGGGTTTTGTACTAATTAATTATTATCGAAAATACATTAAAAATTTAGTAATTAATATTTTAATTAGTAATTAATTAATACAAAACCAGGTGTGGACCATTTCATGAAATGCTTCATGAATCGCCCCTCCATTTCATGAAACCGGCCAAGGAGTCCCATCAGCAAAAACTTTTCCCGATTTTTGTGAGCCCTTTCTTCTTTCGTGAAAAAAATGGACAAATAGATGTTTTTACAAAAAAAAAAGTATTTTTGGGTTATTTTAAAAAAAAAATTAGTTAAGTCAAGAACCCAGAGTTTATGTGCTTCCCTAGCTTTTTTACACATCCTTTTCTTTTCTCTTGTTGATGATTGTGCTTTCAGTCTTTGACGAGTTCTTCCATATGATGTTTGTCATATTTTTTTTGGGTCATATTTTTGTCTTCATTATACAGATGTAAGCTTCATTCTTGCTGATATATTGCTCCTTTTTGCAGTATTGAAGAAAAGGCCATAATACGTCAAATTGTTGAGAAAGCTCTGGCATACAAAGCTTGCTTGACTGGAATTGTTGAATTTTCCTTGAGTTCGCTTGGCGAAGACCCAAGCATGGTTATTTGGAAACTATCCACTGCTTTAAAGGTGACTAAGAATCTGGCTTTTAGTTTTTGCTGCTAATAACATTTTGCACATATAGCTCTTGTTTTTGCCGTTATCCATCTGACCATGTTGGGGAGCATAAAGAGGGGGGCAATAATATGTCACAACAACTATCTAGCATCTGCATGTTTTGCATCATTATTTATTGTATAGAATTGTTTTAGCTATATCTAGGGCCTGTTTGTTAGTGGCTTAAGGAGCTTAAATGAGACTCAACTTAGGGCCTGCATGTTAGCAGCTTAATGGGACTCACAGCTTATTCGGTCAGCTATACATGATTGTTTGGTAGTGGCTTAATGATATAGAAAGTGGCTTATTCAATAAGCTTTCGGGGGGGAGCTTTATGCAGAAAGCCAAGTTTTTTCTAAACTTCATCCTCCCAATTAAAAAACACGCTCTTTCAATCTATAAAAAACCCTCCTAAACAAAACCCTTCACAATCTCTACAGACAAATCAATTCACACAGACTGCTTTATCCATGCAGGGCTGCTCAGTTGATTTTTTATCAAGTCCTGTATGGATAAAGTTGTTTGTTCGCTATAGTTGTCTGTATGGATGTAACTAAATTGATGTTCGGATGTTGTGCTGAATAAACAATCTAAATGGTAGAAATGACTATTTTACCCTTTTAATTTATATTAACGATCTTTGTTGATAAAATTTTACAATAAACAACAATATTTGCAGTAAATTTTATAGAAAGTAGTAGATCAAAAACAAATCAAATATAATCAAGAAACTCATATCAAGAACAACAAACAAATTAAATATAATCAGTTTTTGAATCAAATTAAAGCGAGAAAAAAGAAAACCCCAAATCGATGAACCCTAATTAAAAAACCCTAGAGAGGTCAGAACCATATTCAGAAGGAGGTGAAGTGTAAAGCATTCGAATCTCTCCTGAATAAAAATCGAGGGTTTGAGAGATCTATGGGATAGGATTTCTTCTTCAAGGGTCAGAACCATATTCTTTGAGGGATTTTTCTTCAGATCTAAGCGAGGGGTCTGAGAGATTCTTAAGGAGAAGAAAGATGACCAGTGACGGGAAAAGAGACTGACGATGGGAGAAGCAGAGGTTTTAATGGTGGGTGGAGAAATCAAAAGCTTGGAGAAATAAACAGCACCTGTAGAAATCAAGAGCTTGGTGATCGAAGAGGCAAAGGGGTGTGAGCCTGAAGAAATCGGTAAAGCACAGCTACAAATCGTAAACAACAGCTACATATCGAAAACCATAGGAGAAATCAGAGCGCAGAGGTTGAAGAAGATGAGCGCCGTGAACCCTGAATGGAAACTTGGAAGGTGAACTGATGCTGGAACTTGGAGCGTGTAAAATAGGGTTTCTTTATGGAAGGGTAGTTGGGGAATTAATGGGAAATTAAATGGCTGAGTGTAAAGGAGTATCATTTACGAGCTGAGTAATTAAGTCATTTGCTGACCGAACAGGTATTTATGGCTGAGCGAATAAGCCATATAGGCTATACAGCTCATTAAGCCACAACCAAACAGCCCCTTGATGAAAAACCAACCAAATATTCAGTCAGCTATACATGACTTTATGGTAGTGGCTTAATAATATAGAAAGTGGCTTATTCAGTAAGCTTCTAGGGGGGAGCTTTATGCAGAAAGCCAAGTTTTTTTTGAACTTTTCCCTCCCAATGAAAAAACATGCTCTTCCGTCTATAAAAAATCCTCTCAAACAAAAACCTTTCTAATTTATACAGACAGATTAATCCATACTGGAAGCTTTATCCATACAGGACTTAAAGGAAAACCAACTAAACAGCCTCTAAGTTAAATTTACTATTACATTTTTGGTTATTTTCTTGTGTGATAGAGTAAATCATGTTTCTTTTTTTTAAAGGCAGTAGAAGTGGCTGGGGTCTATGATCGCCAATGTAATTGCAAATTTGAGCTTGCATTAGCTCGAAATTCATGGAGAGTTCGAGCATCTAAGTTATTAAAAGCTTCGCAAAAGCCATCAATCCACCAGATTCAGCGGCTACTGAAAGAGGTACTTGCTAATTGTAGATTTTATGATGCATGACCCTGACACTAGCCAGTTACCCTCCTAGCCTATATTTGGGAAACAATATGATGATCTAGTTTGACCTTTTTCAGTGAAGTTTTTATGGCACAAATGTGGCATGTGATGTTTGGGGATAATAATATTTTCTAAAGTAAACTACAAATTTGGTCCCTTTAGTTTGTCAAAATAACACTTTCCATCCCTGTAGAATGAGGTGTATTTTCGTCTTTTTATCAAAAAAATTGTCATTTACCCAAATCAAAAACCATAAGGACCAAATCATAAAGTTGTATTTGATTGGTTAAAAGACAAACAAAAAAAGATGAAAATGTGCATTTAACAGAATTTTTTAACAGCCGCTAGACCCAGGGACCAAATCTGGACGTTTTTGTAAACCATGTTGGCCATTTTGTAATTTCAAAACTACAGGGATGAAAAATGTTATTTTCGACAAACCATAGGGACCAAATTTATAGTTTACCCTATTTTCTATGTAGGACTTCAGATGCTGACATGTATTTATGATCATGTTCCTTTATATGGTTGTTTGGATATAAGAATTTTTTGGAAAGGTGCCCCAGGCTATGCCCGGACTAATGGCGGCAAATTGTGACAGTAAGAAATCAGCCTTGATAAACTCAGTTGCCACAATTGTTGTGTATGCCTGGAATCAAACCCTGGGTAGATGGGATATAAGTTTCCTTTTACACCAAGGATATTTGCTATGTTATCTACAAGAAATATACTCTTCCTTTTATAATTCCAAATTATCTGTTTGCAGGGTCTCACTATAAGTGTTCCTACAGAAGACTATTTCTGGCATAGACTTACGACAATAAAGCACATTGGTTTGCAATGGGCAACGAAGGCCAAAAAGGTCCGAATTTTCTCTCTTCTTCAACAAACGTTTGCTATAGGTTTCTATGCACACCATTCCTAGTCTTTAAATTCAAATTGGAAACATGCTCAATATCATTTGATTGAATAGTTGACCCAGCCCCTTGTTGTTTGAAAAAACCCTCCACTTCCCGATTCAATTAATGCCTTTGCTACTACTGAAAACAGGTTTCGGCGGATTCTGGTGCACTTGAATTGCATAAAGTTTTTGAACTGATAGCGGAAGGCGAAAGTTTTCCTGTGCACTTCGAAAAGGAACTCAAGGTAACAAGCAAGGAGTCCTCTCATTAGTAGTATGTGTAACAACTCGTCCCACATGGATAGAAATGGGATTTTTGAGCTCCTTATAAGCCTGAAATTGTGGGCTACCGCCACTATGGTTTTAAGTTGGATTCGAAGTTATTAAGTCAGTCTGTTGCGTTGGGCTTTTGGGTGTTACAAATGGTATCATAGCTGATTCTTATGACATCGGGATGGTGGGGCAAACCTCATCGGGTACGATGAGGCTT